GGCATCCCTGACGGACACCGCTTTGTGTGCGGAAGCTTTTGGAGAGCTCTCCGTACACTCTCACACGTCCGGAAGTCTGAGAATACGAAGAACGTATTATGTTTACAAACTTCCGGGGCATTCCTCTGTGGGCAAGCGTCTCAAGAAGAACAGACCTATCAACCTAGTCGAATGCGCCTCCAAAATCCAAGAATACTAGAATTGTGGGTCGCTTGTACGTATGGCGTTGTTCTAGCACCTGACGCAGTGTGAAGATTTGGTCAACGCAACCCCGACCAGGCCGGAATCCCGCTTGCTGCTCTCGGGTCAGTATCTCACGAGCCACCGTAAGGCGACGAAGCACAATTGACGCCAACAGTCTCGTTATAACCGGGGTCAAGCTGATCCCCCTGTGGTTGTCACACTCACTACGCGCCCCTTTTTTGGGTGTTCCGTGTTCAAATTCCACCTTTCTTTTGAACAGCCTGTGGACGTTTCCAGCATTTTTGCATTCTTTATTTTTTCGACCTTTTGGGTCCATTAAGTTTCTCGGTTTGCACGGACACTAGGTTCTTCCGGGCGTCTGATGGTTCACCGAGTTAAATTTGGTTGCTGCCAGGCGAAATTTATCGCCGAGCCTCTAGCAAAACTACGCTTCCACCAGGATCCAATGTCTAAATAAGATTGCCTGGGTTGTGCCCCAAACAGAAGTTCTGACTCTGAGTAACGCTATGAATATCAGTGGTGCGAGATGGTTCAGTTGGTTAGATCGGGAATTTACCGACCGAAGGACCCGTGAATCGAGCCCGACCTCTGCATCTCGGCTTCCCCTGTCTAGGCTTGAGCAACCCGGCAATGTCCCAGCCCCCGTGCTCCCTTCTGGTGACATAGCAGATAGGTACCGAAAGGTGTTACAGCTGGGCCGTATGGCGAATAAAGTGGTCAGTTGTAGTGCTGAGACTTGCGAGAGATTATTCAGATTGGGATGGGGAAGAGTAGAAGTGGGAAAACGTGAAAGTGTGAGAAGGGAGGCGTCAGCAGTAGTGTGTTTTTACTTACCCGCCCGGTTGTGACCACGCGACGGCCGATGTGTCATGATAGTATTGTTAATGGTAGGTATCATGTTATCATGGATAGGCGCGTCCATGCTGTTGGAAAATATGGTGTTCGAAGTATTGCTTTTCGGTCTTACGGGTGATGCGTATTGGGTTAGACTATTCAACACATGGAGCCATTCCAGCAGAACGATATCAGCATTACAAATCCGGGCATCCTGCCACAACATGTCTCATCGACTTTTGAGCTGTCTTCCACTTCACTAATCTCGTCATCATCATCATCATTGTCAGCTGTAAGAACCGCGTACTGGTCGTACACTGGTTGTAGCTGCCACAGTTTCGTTCACCGATGATTT